ATGCAATCCGTGCTATTATGGATTATTTTGTGAAAATCGCGTTGTGATGCAGGAACAGATCGATACAGATTACATCTACTTAATCATATTCATAGGTGGTCTTTGTGTCTCAATTTCGAATAATATTCTATCTCTCGAAGTATTCATTGGATGTGAACGTATTCGTCGTACGAACTGTGGCATTTATTTAATCATCTATTCTATTTTTTCTTTGCTATCAACTATTATACTAGTAGTCTATCAAGCTCTGAACTACTATGAAGAGCACACCAAGACCTCTGTAACACCGTATTTCGATTATAAATGCTATTTGGGCAAAATTGGTTATAATATGTTCGTTTATAGCTGTATATGGCTCAGTTCATTCGTTGCATTTGAACGTAGTTTAATTATATGTTACGGTAGTAAACAAAATGCTACTCGATGGCGATCATTTTGCATTCTCATATTTTTAGTAGTAGTAGCTGTTAGCTCTGCTACACCATTAATAGTGTACAAGTGTGACTGGAAAAATTTGAATATTCCACGTACCATTTTCACGTGATTTTACATTGTTGCAGGGATTGCAGTTTATCTAGTAGCAACTCTGTTGATTTTAATTAGTTTTACACGCCGTATACGTCAATACGGTATGGAGAATGGTTCACGAATAAAAACATTTCTCAAACTCTTGTACACACACTTATTCATTTTTATACCACCAATAGCTTATGGCCTTGGCTACCTACCCTATAGTATTGTCATAAACATGAGGAAACCTGATGAGTGGTATTTTCGATGTGGAATTTCAACTGGAGAATACATTATTAAAGTCTTAATAGAAATACTTCAAGGGACGCCGATCGTTGTTACATGGTTACTGTTCGTTTATCCATCGAAAGTGTATATTACTGAATTTTATATCAACACATGGTCAGGACAGTGTTTGGCTAAAATTTTAATCTTTTTAAAAATGAAATAATCCTATGAAAAAGAGTTCTAATCCTACGACTACAAACCTCATAAATTACAAAAACAATAATAGAAAGTTACACTATGAAAACCACTAAGTCAGAGATCATTATTTAATATTGCTTTCTTTGCTTTATCTTTCTCAATATAATAAAATTTGAGTGATTTAATTTGCTTGCAGTTTTTTTTTTGACATGATGATTGCATAACAACAAGTCATTCTAACTGTACAAGTGCAGAGCTAAAGACTTTCAAATCTTGAAACTCTAAATGAGAGCGGATGTGGATTTGCCTGTTAAAAAAATAGATAAAACGAAATTCATAACTCACCCACAACCTCATATCTTGGTCATGATTATGTTTCATATTCACTCAATGTTGCAGTTATTGATAATTATGTTATTTGATCTGATCTTACTAGTTGTTCATTTATGCATTATCTATTACTGCAATTACAACAAAATTTTTAGTTTTTTTTCTATTTATGTGAGTTTTTATTTTGAAGAAAAGAATCTATATGAATACTTTAGATGAGGAAAATAATGCATACTGTTGTATGTCTAGAACATTTCCTTGTAGTTCGATGTATTTCACAAGAATAGCTTGAAAATAATGTCCAATAGAATTCAAAAATTTGTATGAGTATTTTTCTTTTCGTAATTGCTAAGTATGTGATGATGATTATGATTGTAGTAGAGATAATACACTTAATTCTCGAACATTTCCCAATGGACACTTTAAAGTTTCATTTGATCATTGTGTAAGTAATAGAATTTATTGTGACTAACCAATGAGTTTTTCATGGAGATATTATCTTTTATTTTTGTGAAATAACATCTTAAAGAACTGCTAAAGTATAGTAGTAAAAACTTGAAGTCATCGGCAGATCGAGTATCCATTACTTCTCATCAACTTAACCTTTTTAGATTTGGCCTATTCATAGAATTAGCTTGTTGTTTGCTAACGGAGATTTAAGTCTCTGTTCGGGTAGAAAAGAATATCTACTGTTTCTAGTTTCGTTCAGTATAACGAAAGTGTGACAAACCAACGATGATAAGAATTTCAAATATAAGGATTAAAGAAGAAATATATCCTAAACTTGACAAAAATAAAGCAATGCAGACCAGGCACATTCTCTTTTACATTTTAATCTTACAGAATTGTGTAAATACCGTATTATTTAAAAATGTAAAATATAAATTAAAAAAAAGTAATTTGATCGATTTATTTTTTTTAGTTAATGATCGTGTTGATGAGTTCGAAGAATTATTATGTTGTAATATATTAAACAGACGAAGAGTTGTTTGTTCATATCATGCAAATTATAAATATAATAAAGAATCATTAAAATCTAAACATTTTACATTGAATTGTTTTCTAATAGGTCGTACTCATTTTCGATTCTCTATTAGTAAAGTCCAGAGACCGAAAACGAGTCGAGTACTCGACAAATCGACTCGACTCGACTCGGTTCATGCCGATTCGAGTCGAGCCCGAGTGCGAAGTTTGAGAAATGTGTCGAGTCGAGTCGAGTCCAGTCAGATCTACTGTCGAGTCGAGTCGAGTCGAATTTGACCCCAACGATTCGACTTTTTAAAAATTTCTTCATAATTCTATCATTTGTTTCTCAATATTAGTCATCGTCATCGTTAGACGAACCGAGATGAGACAATGTCAATTCATTTCAATGAATAGGTTGAACAAAGCATTAAAATGAATAGACAGCGATGAACTGACGACGCTAAATAAACTACAATGAATGATATACACTAGCTTTCATTGTATTCAATGCATTATTGACTGTTCAAAGATTAATTAGAATGCAATGACTTGATTGATCGTCAGCCTATGTAAGTGATCGGCATGCGACGTGCAACAGATTTAGTAGTGTATTGCATTATTTCATTATCTATCGCAAAAAGATGATCAAAACAGAATGGATGTTTATATGATCAAATATTTGATCGTATTTAGAATATTGAAATCGATGAAATATGTTAACCATTCCATCCAATAGGACCGTTTCGAATAGTCTTGGAACATTTATGGGGAGAAGAAATCGGCCTGCAGTATTGCCGAAATCGCACAAGAAAATGATTCAGAATTATTCGAGACGATAATTCCAAGCTCTGAAACCGAGTAGAAAACTTGTAGAAAATTTCTGTTTCTGACAGAGAACCTCCGAAAATCGATAGAAAATCGAAGCAGTACATCAAGTGGAGAGAGCGAAGGACTTTTTCGATGACTTCTGACCATCTTTGAGCGACAAAGACAGGATTTTAATGGGAAGACACAGAAAAAAAATCTGAGATCTCCAAGTCTCAAATACTGTTTTCAGAAAATGCCGCAATTTCCTGAAGCTGACGGTTTCCTTTTCGTGTGATCCGACGTGGATGGTTCAACACTATGATACAAGTGAAATGTGTGTCTAAATTTGTTCTCATTCTTGATATTAAGAATGTACTTCTAAACATTCGATTTTGAATCGATACTCGGTGGCTCGACTCGACTCGAGCCGAGTCGAGTCGAGTCGAGCCGAGTCAGATGTTTTTTAGATGCATGTCGAGTCGAGCCGAGTCGATCGAATGGTTCAGTCGAGTCGAGTCGAGTCGAGTTGAATTTTTTTGACTCGTTTCGGTCTCTGGTAAAGTCTTCACATTATCGTAATTACAAGATATTGTGTAATGAAAATTTAATAAGAAAAAAAACACTTAATATCTATCTTGCTTCTTTCTCTCGAAGAGTTTGAATTCTAATAGAAATTCTTTCATGAATTATGTTATGAACTCATAGTTGACTCACAAGAAAATTCTAAACAAGTTCATGAACATAAGAACCTTTAGAACTGAGTTGTGAGTCATGTTTTAAAGATTGTTCTAGCTTTATCGAAACCTCTATATGTCATATAAATATGCACTAGACTGACTGAACATAATAGGTAGCGATCATTCTATCATCTTTGTGAAAAAGTCAAAGAACGATGTATGCAATGATCTCTCAGATCGCATTGTTGAGAAAATGAAATCGAAGAATGATTTGATGAAATCTTATTGAATTCAGTTGACTTTTGACAAATTTTCGCTATAACGACATCTTATTTTTCTTGGAATTCTGATGTATCGACAAATATTTTTATTTATCAATTTACATAAAGATCAAAATATTGATCTTCTGATATCTGAAGTAGATAAAATTCATCATGTTTCTCCAGTCCACAAAAAACCCATTGAATTGATGAAAATCTTTATGTAAATAATCATATTTACAATAAAACATGGGTTTTTAAAACTGATAGACGTTATGCAACTTAATTAATATTTCTTATTCTTAATCATATCGTCGCAGTACTTTATTTTATTAATTATAAACATGAATCCATTTAATATTGTAATGATATAAATCATTTTGTATGAATTGAGCCAATCGTATCTATGAATTGATAGAGACATAATACATCCAATTGATTTCGCTCTTGATTTTTATCAAAACTTTCATTTTCATTGGATATGTTTGCAAATCATTTGTAGGGTGTGGGTGTGGGTGGGTGTGGGGTGCGGGTGTGGGTGGGTGTGGGTGGGTGTGGGGTGCGGGTGTGGGTGTGGGTATGGGCGTGGATGTAGATGTGGGTGTGGGTGTGGGTGTGGAGTGTGAGTGTGGGTAGGTAGATGTACAGAAGAACCACAATCACACCCACACTCACACCCACCGACACCTACACCCACACCACATCTACACCACACTCACACCCACACCCACACCCACACCGATACCCACACACCCACCCACACCCACATCCCACGCCCACACCCACATCTGCATCCCCACCCCCACCCACAGCCCACACTCTGTAATGGGGAGGAGGAGGATGTCTGTAATGGTGGGAATGTCTATAATGGGGGGAATGTCTATAATGGGGGGTATGTCTGTGATGTTCTCTTCCGTTGCTATGTGTCTGTAATGGGTTGGGGATGGGGAGCTGGAAAACCTTGACCTTAAAACTTACACTCACTATGTTCTTCGAAAATATACGTGAGTTCCACAAAACGAAATTAAAAGAGAGGAGGCTCTTGATTAAGTTGTTGTGCATTCCAGCCAGCCAGTCGCTTGTAATTAGAAAACATGGCTTCGACTTCTGTCGGTGAGATAACTTCAGAAAAATGTTGAAAACTATTTGGTGCACGCTCATCAACGAGTTTTAGAACCTTGTCGGGACCATACTCTCGACCAGCCAGAACAAAAGCATGTGAAGCCGAACGTCGAAGGTCGTCGTATGCTTGGAGCCCTTTAGGAGTAACACCGTGTTCACGAAAGGAAAGCGTGAGGCCACGAGCATCGACAATGGCTTGTGAGGCTCCGTTGCCTCCATTTGGATACATTGGATGAGCGGCATCACCAAGTAAAGTGACGCGATTATGTGTCCATCGTGGAAGAATATCACGATCGGTTATCGGGAATTCATTAACAATTATCGATGAGCTAATCAGATGATCAATGTCGAGAAAGTCTAGTTTCATGTTCAACAACAAAGGACGGAGATCTTCAATACGACCGAGGTTATTCCAGTCAGGTGTCACTTGTGAAACTCGAATTTCTGGATCTCCAGTTCGAACAATACAAGCCCAATTGACGAGATTGCTGCTTATGGGAAAAATGAACATTTCGCATTTGTCTGGATTTCCTATACAGATCATTGTTCGTCCATCGAGAAAGGCTTTCTGAATTGGTGTCACACCACGCCATACGGTGAGACCTCTCCAGAGAGGAGGGCCCTCGTTGGGATAGAGAATCTTACGTACTGTTGAATTAATTCCGTCAGCGGCCACTAGCACTTTGGCTATTTCTGTATTTAATTCACCTGTTGTTGGGTTGACAAAATCAACTTCCACGTGGTTTGGCTGCGATTGAACTGCAACTAATTTCTGACCAAGCCGCACAGACATCTCGCCCACCTCGTCGCGTACATGACGAAGTAAAAGTTGCTGAAAATGACCTCGATGCATTGAATACATTGGCCAATTGTAGCCTGCATCCATGCCTCTCGACTCCTCGTAAATGAACTGCCCGTGGCGTGAGTAGAAAGCCGCCTTGCCAGTGCGAATACCAATTTTATCCATCTCAGATTCGAGTCCGAGCTCGTGCAACAATTTCACACAATATGGTTGAAGGTTTACACCGAAACCAATTGGTTCAAGTGCTTGCGATCGCTCGTGAACACGAACGGAGAAACCTGCACGATGCAAGCACAAGGCAGCGACGAGACCGCCGATTCCAGCACCCACGATTAGCACGTCAATCATGTCTGCACTCGCTTTGTTTGACTCAATGATCACGGTAGCATCACTGCTGGGAGATGATGTGGAGTTGGGCGCTTGAGACACAGTGTCAAACATATTCGCAAGATTATTCTTCATGGCTGTCATTGCTACACAGTGAATCTACAAAAAGATTTAAGATTTGTGCTGACAGTACAGATAGTCTTTCTCATCTTCTAATCTCAGATTCAGATTTATTCTTTCAACTAAAACACGATCAATCTTCAAATTTAATTAATGAGAAGAAAAGAGCAGATGTACACCACTGAAATAATCGAATATCGATCACCAAAGTTCGTTTTGTAGAGATTCAATAACTGTTTGGATTGGATTAGACATGGCGCTAGTCTCGATGATCTGAATGGTGCAAAACGATAAAAACAAGCAAGTGAATGTCGTTTTTACTGACTCTTATCATTTTTTTCTGCAAGTAACACATAAATTCACCTTTATCGTGATTGTGCAAGAAAATGACACGTTCTCCCTCTTTTCTTGTGTAGTAGCACAAAGGTGAATTTATTCGTCGGTGCTTCTCTCTTTCTATGTTAAGATAACAAACTGATGTAACTCTTTCGAACTCACCTTTTGTTATTGTAATTCATAAAATCCAAAGTTTATTATGTAACTTCTAATTCATCAAAATTCAAGCTGATAGACAAAAACGAGAATTGCACACGCATTCAAACCAAAAACAGTGAGTTCATGTATGTGTTTGAAGAAAATAATTTACCGCTTTAATAATGAGTTTATCTAAAATCAGTAGTGTAGAAATTGAAAACTCGATTCGACTATTCGACTTCTGCTTCGACTATTCAACTATTCGAGTATTCAAGTATTCGACTATTTGTCTATTCGATTAATCGACTATTGACAATTTCCTGGCACCCACACGAAGTGCGATGCCCACTGTTGAACGTTTAGGAAATAGCCGTGGGTGTGGATGTGGGCGTGAGTGTGGGTGGGTATGAGTGTGGGCGTGGGTACGTGTGAGTGTGGGTATGGGTGTGAATGTCGGTGGGATGTGGCTGTGGGTGGGTGTGAGTGTGAGCGTGGGTGTGGGTATGGTATGAGAAAGAACTGCACCTACACCCACACGCACACCCACACTCACATCCACACACCCACTCCCACCTCCACACCCGCCCACACCCACCCACACTCACACCCACATCCACCCACACACATCCACACCCACACCCACATCCACACGCACCCACATCCCACACCCACCCCACACCCACACCTACACACCACACCCACACCCACACCCCACACCCTGCACGAGGTCGAAAATTTCGAACCGGTTGACATGTTGAATGATTCTTCTTTCTAATTTAGTCGTATTCGATAATCAGTAAAAAAAGCCCAGACAAAAGCACATAGAGCAAGCATAATAATTGCGACATAGGAACATTCTTTATGCCATGATGAAACATGTTCCTCACGAATTGAAGTGCTATTTCGTCGATTACTGGTATTTTCATGTGGATGACTATCCGAACAGGTTGATTGACCATCGAGTTTATCGCGTTTTTTTCCAAACCACAAATCCAAAGAAAGGCAGTTTTTAAATGAAAAACAATTCCTATGGAATCGCCTGAAAGAAAAGATTTCCTTGATTGGAAAGAAAAAGATTTGGTATCGATACCTGTTTCGAAAAAATGTAAAGCTTTCCTTTCAGTTTCAGTAGGAGGTTGATCGATTTGATATGAAGATGAATTCTCGAAGGAACAAGGCTGCTTTTCATCATAAGATGTGTTTGCTTTATGCATACATCCAGGTCGAGTAGGAATTTCAATCGCTTTTTCTGGACTATCAAGATCAAAAATGGTTAAACTGGATATCTAGGCATCACGTTTGCATCCTATCGAGAAAATTAATTATAACTTACATATTTTTCTGGAATAGGTTTTGTCAGAAGACTGACCATGATGGTCACAATACCAGAGATTATGGAGAGAAGAACTGAAAAATACAGAAAATGAAATCGAACTACTGATGGACGCTTATCCAGATGTTCGAGTTGACAAGGCATTGCACTATAAGAATATTCCCAAATGAATCGAATTATTCCAATAAATAAGCCACATATCAAACCCAAAAATGCTCCCTAAAATCAAAATTATCAAAACTTGCTACTCTGAATAAATTACTTCTTCATTGATTCGTTTCCATAAAATCCCGAGTAAATAACAAGCAGCAACTGGAGGTGCTAAAAATGATGAAATAGCTTGAATATAATCGAATAATCTTGCACCTTGTGCTGTTCGAATAACTGAAATCCAAAGAATCGATATTCCGACAAGAATCATGACGAAAACTCTTCAATACAACTTCATGTCATTATTTCCCAAACAAATCTTTCATTCATTTACCTGCCAACAATCATCAATTCCCAATCTTGTGCATTTCGACGAAAACGTTGCCAGATATCAATTGTGAAAATAGTCGAACTCGAATTAAAGATCGAGGTTAAGGAGGGCATTAAAGCTGCAATCATACAGGCTAGTGTTAAACCACGAATTGCTACGAAAAGGAAAAGATTTTTTTTTCTTCCAAAAGATAAATTAAAGATTCACCATTGGGCATTAATCGAAGCACAAGAAGTGGGTATGCAATGTCACTACAACCATTTCGACTATGACAAACTTGATAGCACACATCGGGACCAGCACAACCGATTTCATCTATATCAAAGTTAGTTTTTAGATGTATAATTAAAGAAATACTCATACTGGGAAAGAGAATTCTTGCAATCATTCCTATTAAAACCATGAACAAGCTTCAAATCCTCCAAAAGATCAATCACTCACCAGGAAATACCATCAGAAATAACGGCAACAATTTCAATATTCCCGCAACAAGACATCCTGCTCTTGCGTGTGTAAAATTTTTTGCTGCCGATGTTCGTTGTACAATCACCTAGATTACAACTCAAACAAATATTTCTTCATTATTCTCTCTTTCGATTCACTTGATCGGAACACCAATACCAAATACACATAACTCCGTGTCCAAAAAATATCCCAAACCATGGTAAATCAGCATCAAATGGACGAATTAATGAGAAATAATATTCATTCGGTACACCACATTCAGTAGTATTATGTAATGTTGTATACGCAAGTGCATACAGGAACAGATTGCGAATTTGTTGTATACCACCAACTCTGACGAAACCTATTTTCATTCATAGAAATGACATACTGATAATCATCAAAATAAAAGATGATACAACCATAATTACTGTTTGTATAAAATCCGTCCAAATAACTGCTGTTAAACCACCTAGACCAAAACTTTTATTATAACCAGAAAACATATTTTCTTTTCTATTTACCACCAACAGTGAAGAATGCAGCGAGAAGAATCAGAGCAATAACTGAGGCATACAGATTCCAATTTAAAGCTTGTTGGAGGAAAATAGCACCGGAATAGAGATCAACAGATATTTTTGTAAAGATGGATAACATTAATGCAAGACATGTTAAATAAACTCGAATACGTTCACCACCGTAACGCATTTTTATATATTGTGGCATCGTGAATACCGCTGCTTTCATATAAATCGGAACGAATAACCAACCAAGTACCATCAGCCAATGAACTGCCTATTATGTAGAAGATGTTCTTGATACAAAAGTATTCTTTTCTTACGCCTATTTCAAAATCGGCAACAGCAATGCCGCTTGAGGCACCAAATCCACTAAGACCGATGAAACGGCCACTGCCGATATTCGATGCAAATAAGGGCGCGCCCACCTAGAAGATTGAATGAAATCGAAAAGAATTGTTTCAACACTTTTTACTAGTATAAAATTCATTGAACGACCAGCAAGAAAATATTCACCTGAATAGAAAAATATCAAATCCTTGGTGAATAAAAAAAGAATATATCTTTTCTTACCGACACTGCCACGATTCTTGCATGAACTCTAAAGACGATCAAAGAATAAAATGAACTTTCTTTTATCTCTCTTACCCAAATTCCAAAGCCGAGAATGAGCAAAAAATAGAGTAATAAAACTAGTATATCTGACTAATGTAGCGCTGTTCCGATGATGGCAGCAATGTTTTTGATTTGATTTTTCACTGTGTAACTATTTATCGATTTGTCTTTATTACCCATATTATTCAAAGATCAAACATAATGACATTTTCTTCCTCAAATGTTTTCAAAAAATGATAATTTTTATTTAAAAATTATGGTAAAATATCAAGAAGAACAAACACAAAGAATAACATTTTTCTTTCATAATATAAATCAATCTTGTTATTTGAAATATAATAAATGTCATTTACAAGTCGTCCAATGAATGGAATTCTGGATACTTTCTTTTCAAGTTGAATTGTTAATTCTTTAATATATTTATCTGAATCAAGTTTTACTTGGCGATTTTGTTTAATAATCTATCAAATAATTATGAAACAATCAATTTCAATGTTTGACATTGATAATTTCTCTTCTTTTTCATATTTACTTTAAATTTAACAAAATAACACGTAGATGCATAATTCGAGTTCGAATATAAATGGGTGTTGGTGGGTGTGTGGATATGGGTGTGGGGTGTGGGTGTGTGGCGTGTCGGTGTAGAATGTGGATGCAGATTGTTTCATCACCTACATCCACCCACACCCACACCCACTCACACCCACACCCGTTCTCACGCCACACCCACACCCTTATCGATTCAGTGAAAAACATATCAGCAAAAGACTTCTCTGCGAGCTTTTTGTTTCGACATAGATGGTTGTTTGTTTAGTTATAACACCAACTCACAGTGGTACATATGTATACAAGAAGTAATGCATGATTCTGTCATCGTTCCGACCTAATAAATCACTTTATGCGTTTCTTCTTTGGTCAAAAATCTCACTACTTATGATAGGATCTAAAATATATCATGAGAGATGTGCTCACCCTATTATCTTCGAGATCCGTTTTACTCTGGCATTTGTTACGATCGTTACGAATAAGTTTTTTCTCTTTTCAAGCTTCAATTGGTTTTCTGTAATCTAAAGTAGGTTGAATTTTTTTAATTCTAGTATTAATTTTTCTACTTTTTCCTTCTTCTCTCTTCATGATGAAGAATGAAGTCTTATTTTTCTTTTCAAATGGTTTTTCTCCTGTTTAATTAGGATAAACAATATGAGAATGTCGATATATGTATAATAAGCTGCGTGATCAACATGTTTCGTTACCATCAGCATGAGGGTTAGGTGACCAAGGTTCGCTATCCCTTTCACTCCTCTGTTTCTGAAGATTGATCTGCTTTCATTCAAAACATTGATCAGAATCATGAACGACACTAATATACTCAATGATGAATATCTTGACATTGATAAAGAAAATTATGTTGAAAAAAATAAAGGCTCTTAGCGTAATCACAACAGAATTAATATGTGAAAAATGATAGATTCATGATATTCGTAAATTGATATCAATCATAGAATTCTTTTGAGTCAAATTTATTCACACATTGTTTTAGTCATTTACGATCTGTGAACATATGCACTCTCTATCTGTTATGACCTGTGTGGAAAGCGAAAAAAATGTAAGGTTTTAGTTTTTGATTTGCAATATCATTACATATTCTTGTTCAATTAAATTTCAAAAAACAAACTCGAAAATGATCCTCGTAGTGCCAAATGGCGATATATCTTTGATGGTCTATGGGTATTCTAACTTTCTCTCTACATAAATTTAATATTTATTATCTAATCGTATTTTACAAAACATTAGTTTTTTCCATTTTATAGATTTAAAAACAATGGGAGTGGAGACCTAAGAAATAATTATTTACTTTTGCCTGTCGATTCTGTTATGAAGTATGAATAAAACGGATGCATCAAGCACATGAAATTCAACTATTCCGTATATTTCTGTTCAATTCAATTCTCATTCAATCCTTATATTTCTATGACTTGAAATATTCTTATTGTTATCTTTGTTTGTTCAATTCATTTTTTACTAGTCAAACAATCAATATACATAATATATAAATAGAAATAACTAATTCAGGTAGATGAATAAGTGCGTTTTAAAGACTAATAACAATTTTCTTTTTTATTCAAGTCCACATAAGAGAAGAATAAATACTGTTATTGATAACTCATCGAATACATACAAAACTAATATCAAACATAAATATATAGAATAGTAAAAACTTCCAAAGAGAATTTAAATAATGGCCTTTAATAAAGAAATATTATTTATATGAATCATCCGTTGAATAATACAGCGTAACACGAAAAATGTCGAATAAGAAAAATATTCTCATTAGCAAAGAATGTTTCGTCACACGACATGTATGAGATCAAGTTCTTTTTATTTTCTAATCTCAATAAATCTAACCTGGTCGCAGTTCTAATAATTTTATTTGTTCAAGGCCTAGTCTCTATCTAGAAAAAGAATCTATTTCAGAATACAGTCGTAACACATATAAATAACTTGTCAACAGTTATCTTTTGATTTGATTAGCCGCTGGTCTATATTGATTGGTTCATTCCACTTGAATTATATATGTCCTAATTAATATAATAGTTCATTTCAAACGATAGAATAATTAATTATAATCTTAATTTTCTGTTAAAATGAAATGTTTTTCTCTCAGAGTCTCAATCTAGCACATATCTTATCACTATAAATGAATATCAACTACCTTTCATCAATTATATGCGATGAAGAAATAAATGAGAATATAAAAAATCAAGTTACTTTAATTATTGAATTCTATCAAAGCGAAATTTCATTAGAGTCAAAAACAACAAGTGATTAATCTATCAATATAATTTTTATTTTTCATTTTTAGAACCATTCGACAACGTCCTTGGTTCAAATATTTCTTTTAATGCTTGAAAAACATGATGCGAAAAATACGTCAGCTACGTGCTCATGTATACAAGTATTACTATTGCTCATTAACCAGCTAATCGTGTTTGCATACGCTTCTTATGTTCTATCTATGGAGAGTCAGCCATGTGCATCCTTATGCTTGACTTCCCAAGCAATAAGATAAAAAGCTACCGTATTAACATTATTCAAAAGTGAAATATTTATCATTGCAGCTAACGTAAAAAAAAGACAGACTAACCAAACGAAACATGGCTAGTGATAGTATTATTGGTAGACTACAACCTGCTCAAGTTATTGAACTCTCAAAGGCATTTATGGAATTCGATATAAATGGCAATGGTTTTATTACATTCGATGAAATGAAAGAAAGTCTTTGTCGAGCCAATATGCCACGTCCAGATGCAGAAATTCAGCAAGTTATGTCAAAGATCGATTTTAATCGTGATGGAATGGCATCATATGATGAATTTATGAGATTTATGGCTAATATAAGTAATACATCACAATCTAATATAAGTAATACATCACAATATCCAAATCCACCATGGCAATAATCAAAATCAAATCAAAGTTCGAAGCAAAACTAATTCTATCTCTAAACTCACTGACAAAAACCAAACTAAATATCATATCATTTTAATAAATCGTTTATTATAAAACAGAAGTAAAAAAAAAACAATTTTCCAAAGTACAACATATAAATATTTATTCATGGCATTCTTTTTTTTTCACGTTCATATTTTAATATATTTAGAAAAGAAGACCTTGAAATAAAGTTCATACATTCTATTTTAAGAAAATTATTTATGAAAAATATTCAAAAAAGAAAAGACTTGCGAAACTATCTTGAATTTTTCATCGACTAACAATAACAGGTTTGGTGCTTCTTTGCTCTTTTTCTTGATTTATTTTACCATACACTGTTTATTTACTATCGTACTGTATCGTGTAAAAATAGAACGAAATGCATTATAACATACTGACCTTGATCAATAAACAACGTGTAAACCTAACGAAAAACAAATTAATACGTTTTTTTTTCTATCCTTTACATTCATATCTGAATTAAAATATGTACATAAAAGTTTATAATTTTATCGATCAAGACCATCATAATATATAAACTCTATCAATGTTACAGAAGATTAACAGTATATATAATATATGCCGGATGTACCAACAAGATGCGTCGTGAAAAAGTCTACAAAAACTAAAAGAAAAAAATATCCCTTTTGACTTCCACAGATAGTATCTCCGATACTCAAAATGAGCAGATTATATGTGGGTGTCATGTCCCACCATAATTAGTATAACAAAAATATCTCAAAAACTTCTTTTTATTTTGCGAATATCTCGACTTTAGAAAGTTCCTATTACGAAAGAACAATAATCTTCCAAATACTTAACCTTCTAGTACGTATGACCATCATCTGACCTATTCATTTTGAATATATAGGACATACCATTAGAGTAACACAGTAGAAGTTTCTTCTTACAGTTTTTGTAGAGTTTTTCATGACGCATCTATTGAAAAAAGAATCACGATTATACGATTGATGTCTGCTGAGATATTTGAAAAATACTAAATATTGCAAAACTTTTGATACACGCGGTATACTATGTGATCCTTTTGTTCGAAATGAATGTAACATTGATAGTAATAGTAACAAGAAGCCTATTATTATT